GGCAGCCACACATCTTCCCGACGCTCTGACATCGACTCAGACATGAACTTCTCCAGGTACGAATGGCTGAGGACACATGCAGCATTTTAACATAATTCATTTGTTTCCAAATTGTATTATGAAAGCTTTAAGTGACAGATGAGTTTATGTTTAACTTTACAGCGAAAAAAATAAAAAGGGGAAAGGGAATACTTACACAGTCTTTTTGTCTTGACGGATTAGTTTGGAGGAGAACTCACTCAAAACCTCCAGGAAGGCCAGATTGACAGGAGGAAACTCTGGTCCCCGAGGATTCTGGTATTTAAATGCAAACTCTATTCCATCCCTAATGCATCAGAAAGACAGAATGAGCGAGACAGCAAGTTAAAAATTAAGACAAAGGTAGAAACAGAAAAACAAACAGTGGGTGGAAAAAAGCAACACAGAGTAACAGACACCAAGAGCGAAGAAGTGTATTTACTGTCAATGAAGCACCTGATTTGAAAGAAAACTGTAAAAGGTTTATTTCTATTCTGGGGCCATTCTTCACTAAGAATTTTATTTCTCTCAGCCTTTCTCTTCATCTCATTTTGGAACCTGAGATGCAGCATTGGAGGGCATTTAACTACCATTAACCTCCTCCCTCTCTGATTACATTCCAGCATACTCAAGAGACCAGAACATTCATAGTCTTACTTGTGCAGGGTGGCTACAGCCTCTCTGGTCTTGATCTGATCCAGGCCGAAGGTTAGAGCGAAGCGGCGGGCCAGCTCCTTGATGCCGCTCACGTGAGATGATGTCCGGTCCAGGTTGGGACCCTGATCCTGCAGCAGCTCGTTGAACAGCTGCAACATTCATAGGAATCGCACGTCAAGAGTGAGTGTTGTAACTTACAGTACAACCCCGGCAGCTGTGTGTATAGCCTGTATGGACTGTGTGTGCCAGTGTCTCACCTGCTGCAGACTGAGAATGAGTGTCTTGGCGCAGAGGATTTTGTCTGTCTGCCTGGTTTTACTGAGAGTCTCTTTAATGATGTCGCCATAATCATTATAATACTGAGGCAGAGAAAACAAACAAAAATATGCAAGATGGGACAATTCAGCATATTCAGTTTCATATGTCATCTACAGATTTTCATTAATAACATTTCTATATACTTTTAATATATGTGATTTCTATTATAGGTCCTCTCTTTAACCCCATGACCTGCTGACTATGTTTTCCAATATCTGGCTTTCATATTACCTAATCCCATTATGCTGATCATGTCATGTTTTAGGTTACGCACAGCAGGACACACACCTTCATGTAGTGTTTGAAGATGTCAGCAGCAGCGGGCATGTCTACAATATCGTAGATGATGAGTTTGCAGAAAGCTGCGATCAGGTTTCGCCTCTTGTGGAGAGCCTCAATCTTATTGGCCTCGTCCTCCTCGTCTCCCTCTACAAAAATACAAGTGGAGAGAAATGACAAAGAAGAAGAGGAATAAATAATATTTTAATCATTAATAACTACATGTGACAAAAATCTCTGAAACCCATTTACCCTCTCAAATTGTCCTAATTCCTCACAACAGAGTGCCCTGTAAAAGTGATTCTCTCTCTGTCTCACCCATGCTTTGACTCTCATCATCCTGGTCGATGAAGACGTGGTCCAGGACAAAGTTGAGCAGCTCGTTCTGCAGAGTGCTGTCTGGGTTAAAGACCAGCGGCTGGAGACCCTCCCTGCCACCAGAAATTAGCTGGTGACTGAAGATCATCAGCAGGTCACAGAGAAGCATGAACGCCTGAGCAAGAGGCACAAATAAAATGTTATGCTTTGACAGAAATTGTTAGCTATTCAAAAGGTATATGGAATAATGTTGTGAGCCCCGCAGTTTTCTGTTTTCTCTAGAATTAGCTTCATATGCCAAGCTGTCATTAACATAACAGACATTTTTATCATCTTGTAATGACAAGAGCACACAGTTTCCACTTTTAACATGGTTTCTACAGACAGTGTTACACGTTCTTTACAGTGAAAATGGGAGCTGGCCACATCAGCTGTGCGTGTTATACCTGCTCTTTGACTGGTGTGTTGACGTTGGACAGGCACTGCTGGCAAACGGCAAGGAAAGACTTCACCACTCTCCTGAGAGCCAAGAGGTCATCCTGTAAACACACCAAACATACACATATTATTAGCCAAGTGTCACAAATAATGAGCATTTTTAACTGAAATCAGTATCAACAGCAGTATCAGCCATGCTAACTGTAGCAATAAATGTGATTTTCATTAACTAACTTCCCTGAGGCAGAAGAATGAAGACAGACTGCGTTGTTGCTGGTGGAGTCTGGGCTCACACTGTGACACTTTGATATTTTATCCTTGATGCGCTGTCATGTCAGCACAGGGGATGCAATTATTTTGCATAATTCAAATATTAATGTTATGGCTGATGCCTTTCTAATTTATCACCATCTGCAAACAAATGACTAAAAACACTATAAAATGACATACTGTTATATCTACAGTATTTATCAGCAAGACAGTAAACAGAAGTGACATATAACAGGTGCACATGGGGAATCTTTAAGCTAATGTGGGTCAAAGTGCTTCTTTGCTTCAAAGCTTCTGTGCAGTGTTAAAATGTTAAATGAGAAACACTAGGGGTAAGCCCCTGGATAGAGGAAAGCATCCTGTCCAATAATGAGATGGCTTTTTATATCCAAGATGCCACACTCTGCAGAAATACAGATAAGCTCCTGTCCCTCTGGGCCACTGATGCTCAGAGAGAGCAGCCTCAACTCTGAGCCTCTGAAAGATAGACCTGCCATCTGAGTCTGGTGTTACAGCTCTATCAGTGAGACAAGCCCTGCACCTTGCTGGGAGACCCCTCTGTGATCTTGACTAGCTGCCAGAGGATGGAGTAGTGGGAGCACTGCAGGGCCTGGACGGCTATCTGCTCTGGCATGGAGCCCTGCTCGATGCCAGCCTTCAGCAGCCGGTAACAGTTCCCAAACAAATCCCACCGTGTCAGGTCATGGGCACTGAGACAAGAAACACAAGGAAAACACGTTCGATTTAACAGAGTCAATTCATCTGACGGAACTCAACGAGCACTACACAGCTGATACATATGGCACTGGTGTACTTTGTTTATCTTAACAGCTTGCTAAGTATTGATGTAACACTTTGTAATGTAGCTAACTAGTTAGCACAAAGTTACTGTAAACACTATACACTGACAGTTTACGCTGACGAAAGTAACGGTAAAAGCCAATTACATTGGACATTTTCTCTATTTTTGACATTTTGGAGGATGAATCAATTAAATGAGAAAACAATCAGAAAATAATGAAAGAGTCTTAGTTTCAACAGACTGAAGTAAGTAAAGAGAGACACTTACTTGTGGAAGGCTGTGAGTCTCTTGAGTGTAGATAAAACATTGTAAATATCATCATCATCGGCCTCCTCAGCCTGCAACATAACAAACATCTGTTTGTACACCAAGACTCACTTTATTGCTGCTCATTAAATGTACAAAATAAACACAATGAATAGCATGTGTGGAGTTTTGGTTAATCTATGAAGTTTAGATAAATATTTTTTGGGACACCTCAGCTTTGCATAAATCTAATCCTCAACACAACTTCCTGCACAGCTTGAGACTGAATTTCAAAGCCATGTCACAGGTATTATAGATCACAAACACACCCACACATCTACTTTCGTTTATCCCTTTCATACCCACACCTGCTGCTCTCATCGTACCTCCTGCAGCAGCTCTTCGACCGAGTGTGCAAACCGATCGGTCATCTCGTCAATGAGCTGGGAGCGGGCGATGTCCACACGGTTCATGATGGTGTACTCTTCAGAGCAGAGGATGCTATAGGTCTTGCTGCAGGCTTCGAGCACGTCCGACTCTATGTGCTTCTCGACCACGAGCCGGATCTGCTTCAGCAAGGCGTCCAAGTGCTTCTCCATGCGCCCGGCGCTGTACACATCCAGGTCAAAGTACTGAGGGATCTGCAGCAGGTTGGCTACCTTCTCAGAGTCAGCCTGGTACTGTGAGATAAAGGGACATAAATTATGTGAACAACACTTGTAGCACACAGAACAAAGACAAATAGAGAGGAAGAGAAGACCCATCGGTCACCAACTGATGATTTGTTTGCGTTTCTTCATTTGGGAAACGGCCAATTACATTTTAATTTCTAAGTATCTGGGCAGCACATTTGTCCAGAGTGACAAATATTCAATACCACTTCTCTTGACTACATCATTAACACCTCAGTCATTTGCCCAGCCCATTCATTAATCAGTGTGTTTCCTGCCCTGTGCAGGCTGCAGGCTGGATCTTGGGAAAGTCTTACCTTGGACAACAACATTGGCAGAGCCATGATGAAGTGCTCCGTCAGTTTGTTCTTATCGTCTATCTGGGTCTTCCTCTCCTTTGCTGTCAGCACCTAGACAGACAGACACAAAACTGTGGGTTAGGTGTAGCGGGGACATAAAAATAAGCAAGACAAAGACTGTGCTGTCCTGTCCTCTGTGACTACAGGAGTTATTTGCATGTAGGAAAGTCTTTTTTTTTTTACTAGCCATAAACCTTCAAAGGATTTCAAGCCTCGCTAAAGTGGATGAACAACTGTTTGTGCTTTGTTGTCTTTATATATTAGACTTCTCTAGACTTTTGTTTTATTCCACAATGACTTCTCAATATAGCCCTTAACATAACAATACTAAACATCTATATCTCTGAGTTTGAGGTTAGCCTGAAATTTGATGCATTCTCTGGACTGATAACTCCACAATCCATGTACTGCCAGCTGTTTCTTTAATTCTACATGAATTGTTTTAGTAAACAGAATGGAAAGGTAAAATAACAAAGGACATGGAAAAACGCGTCGTGGCCTGGCCAGATTTGAACTCATGGTGTCACATTTAAATATTATACAGGCTCAAACACTGTGCGCTTACTGAGATCCAGTGTTGCACTTCTGAGCAGACATTCATACAAGGTCACTTACAGAACATGAACAGCAGATCTCAACAACGCTCAAGGCTCCGGTTGGCAGGTATATTTACCTGGTGTCTCTTCACATCCGTCTCATCTTCTGCTTAACTGACATATACTATAACTCCAAATGATGCTAAAGGAGTGGTTATAGTGTGTCGTGTGTGTACTTGATTTACCCGTTTGCCAGTTCCTCTGCCGACAGGTGGGTGTGCCTCTGCTGCCTGTCGGATGGTGCACACTGTCAGCTCTATCAGCGCACTCTCCTGCCTGTCTGAAAAGACTGCAGAGACAGTCGGAAAAGAAGAAGAGAGAAAGAGACAGATAAAGTGAGAAGACAGAGAAACACACAGGGAGTCAGTAAAAGAGAGAGACAGTCTATTGTATCATCTCATGTAGGTGTTTCTTTCAGCTGTGATGTTGTGTCTAAAGCCAACTACATAAAAGAGAACAAGAACAGTGTGTGTGTGTGTGTGTGTGTGTGTGTGTGTGTGTGTGTGTGTGTGTGTGTGTGTGTGTGTGTCTTACCCTCTTCTCCTTGCACAGGCTCCTCCAGTAGAAGTTCAGTCATACACTCCCAGTCTTTCAGCAGCTCCTGAGAGCTTTCCCATAGCGAGTCCACAAGGTAGGCTGCATGCTCATGAAGCTAGCGCACACACACACACACACACACGTTCACAAACATACACAGAAAGAAAAACAGTACATATGTGTTAGAGTCACTGACTGAAAATCATCAATCTAAGACTACAACAAACATGGTGGGGAACTGGGCACTTTGTTAAGCTGACATTTGTACCCAATATGATCCAACTCAAACACGTGACATAACGTAATTTGTATAGTACAAGTGTTTTACGCTATTTTACCCAAGCATGGGACACATAGCAGACATGTTCTTTTTTAAACATTAAACATTACGTATACGGTACATCCACAGGAAGTTTAATTTGCCATGTGTATGGTGTAAATTGTATGCATAAACCTCCATCATGTGTAAGTGCTACCTCACTCTCCAAAAAGAAGAGCACCAGCATGCGGATCAGATTTCCGTTGGGACTGCTCCTCCCTCTGCGCTTAGCCAGTGCTTCTTCTGCCTGTGGGTCATGGCGACTGAACAATCTGACGGAGGCAGAGAGGTAGGCAAGAAGACAGAAACACAAGGAACAAACACACACACCATTATTAAATAGCAAATAAGAGACGTCAGAACAGTTAAACTCTGAAAACCCATAAACAATATAAAACAGACTATGCAACTGAAAAGTAGTGCTCGACATCATTTGTCGACTTATACAGAAGGATATATGACCAAAGATCCGAGGATGGACTCACTTCCTGTGCAGGAATTCTCCAGCAGCGACAGCCACTGGCCGATGGGCAGAATAGACCAGATGGTACACATTCTCACAGTCCTCATTGGACAAGGCATCTTCGCTGCCCCTGCAATAGATAATCAATGCGAGTTACACTCAATCACAGTAGTTCATCAGTAAAAATCCAAGAAGAATAAGAAAGGATCCAAACTGCTGCTTTTTAACAGTGAGACCAAGTTTAAATGTCTGTTCAAGCTGAAAACCTAAGGGAATATGGCCAATGAGCCTGACTGTGATGATGATGATGATGATGCAATGATGACTAGTGGCTGAAACTTTTAAAGTCCTGACAGTTCTGTGATTATACGCAATGAATCTATACACAGTAAGGACAGTAACACAGGAGAGTTTCATTATTATGCATGTGAAAAAACTAGAAAAAGTATCCAAGTTACTCACTGCAGGATGAGTGTGACCAGTCGAATGGCCTCCACAGCCACATCATACTCCTTATCCAGTGTCATTGACACTATACGGTCCTGTCAAAATGATACAATGAACCGAGAAAAAGTGGAATAAATAGGCAAAATCCTAAAAGATCAAATCTAAGCTTAGCGTAGTCATACTGTTCTTAAAAGAGTCATAACTGATATGTTCATTCTCACGGGGGTTACCTTGAAGCGGTTGGTGAAAAGCTCAAGCTTGGGAAACAGTTCTCGGTTTGTGTACAGATTCTGCAGAGCCTTAAGGCACTTTAGACGCACCTCTCCTTGCTGAAAAAGGGAGGGATAGTTTGTGCAATGACATAGCAAAATATCAACAAAACTCAAACCAAGTCTTGAATAAATATAAGGGAAGACTCAGCAATTTCCAACAAAACAGGCAGGTGGTTGTTTTGACTGGGGGCTCACCCTGTCATGTAGTGTCCAGCCAACGTATTTCAGGTAACTGTCATTAAGAAAGGCGTCACTGTACATCTTCATCCACACTCCAATCTCCTCAATACAGATGGCTCGGATTTCTGCAATTGCATCCCTGGGAAGTGCAGAGACAACAATGATCAAAATCAAAAATATGTGGTGTTAGACCATTAATTATTAATTGTTTGTGGTCACCATCCCTGAAGGCACAGGGTTACCTTTTTACACCAGTGAAAAAGATATTTCGTAAAGGGTAAACTGGTGGGTAAGCAGCAGGCTGATGTCAAGCACCACTCAAACCACTGATTGACGTAATCTCCTAAAAACGGCTAATAACAAAGATCACAAGAAAATGGACAGTGGAAAGTTTACCTGTAGCGATGCACAAAGATTCCCTTGAAGATGGAGTTCATCATATTCTCTATTTCATCTTGGTTTTCCTGAAGCTGCAAACAGAAAACCAAGAGGTCACAGGCAAGCCTGCAATGCTGCAGATATTTTGATACAGAGTATAGTAAAGCAGTGCTACGGGACTCCAGCTAAAATAAAAGTGGTCGCAGCTAATATTCCCACTTATTAGCATTCAGGATTTTAGGGAACATGTTGGGGAATTTTAGCATATTTAACAAGATCACACTTTTAACTATGCTCTCATTGTTGATGATGAACCAATATCCTAATATTACTATGTGGACACATCACCACACAAATCAAATTTGAATAGCCACATCAAACATCACCCAACCTCCTTTCTCTTCTGGAGCAGCAGTTCCAGCTTCTCGTTGGCTCGTTTGCCTGCCATCTTGTTCCTCTCAGCCTCGTACTGTCTCTGGGTGTTGTCCTGGTGAATGCTCAAGTTCAGTGCCACATTCACCAGTGCCGTCATCAGCTTCATCGCTGAGCAGAGACAAAAAACACCTAGGTATGACTAATGCTTCAGACTTTCCTTCTAGGGAAATGTGTTTCTTATGTTATATTTTTCTACATCTTGTTACTCAATTACTGTTTAGCAAAGGACTCTACAAATAAAAGTTTTGTTGTAATGATAAAAACCTCTAAACCTGGTTCCATTACCTGCTAATGTGGAGGTGTGTCTGAAGGCTCGCACTTGAGAGTCAGACAGCCCGGTGAGGAGGGAGATCACCGTGTCCATCATGTACTCATCGTAGATGATGCTGTACTGACACTGGCGGATCAAAACGCTGATAAACTCACAGAAGTTGTAGCGGAACTTCTTCCACATAGGCCCTGGCATGGTCAGAGGATAATCTCCACTGTCCTGTTGACAGAAACAGTGATTAGAGCCATTGTATCCTCTTCTATCAAAATGATCTGGAGTAAACCTTTCTTGCAAATGAACACTGTTTCTCATTTGGGCTGCTTGCTAAGATTTTCTGGTTGGGATTAGACCAGAGACCCTTTCATCTGTTCAACCACTGCTATTTGTTTGTTAAGGTGAAAAAAGAAAACTGACATGTCAGAGTAAAGTGCATCTTTAAACGTGTGGTTTGAAGTCACACTGCACCGTCAAATATCCCCTTTTCTATAGTTCCTGTTCTAACTTAAAATGATCCATTAGACATAAAAATGAACTGATTTCAGCGGTCTGAAAAAATAAGGCATGAAAGAAAAGGAACTCTGAAGCATTCATCAGTCCTATGCAGGATTATTCCTACCACAACCTGAGAAGAACACACACTGTGCACACAGTTTCTTCAGAAAGGCGATATATTTACATAGTTAATAAATGCCGCCAAACAGGACATTACACATGACATTATTTTTACTTGAACATTATTTGCTCTCTCTGTCAGAGGAAGATGTTTACCTCATCGAACTCCTCAGTCATCTTACGGATGATCTCCGCATTCTGCATGTTCCTGAACATCTCGATTCTTACAGTACCTGGTTAAAAAACAAAAATGAAACCAGAGTTGTTATTTCTGTAAAATGATTACTGTGTCTACACCGAGTTGCTGATTGGCTGAAATTGTCTTACCTTTGCACCCCGAGCATTGGATAAAAAAATTGATGAGGTCCAGCAGTGCCAAGTCCCTGTCTTGTTTGTATGATTCAATCCACTCATCAACCACAGACTGTTCACACACACACACACCAAAAGAAACACACACAATCACAACAGTGAGAATTTTACAAGGTGGAAAATCTTCACAAATTCTAACCTGCTACACAGGAAAGAAAACAGCCTTCAAACAGCAGGTGAGAGGTGTCACATCCCATCATTCATCATTATAAACCCTACTACAGGTGCAGTGTAATGGTTTGATTAATTAGAAGTATTGTTAAACACAGCCTAACACAGACTTTTAAAAGACATCATCTTGAGAGATATACTTTATCTTCTAACAGTGATAAACACAATCATGCACACCCACCTGCATGGCACTCTTGCCCAGTTTGACCACTTCAAACAGAGTGACAGGGTCTCCACCATCTCCATTATGTTGAGCCACGCCGTTGGCTTTCCCTCGTCCTCTGGGCACGCTCAGGGTCTTGTCTGTTGGAGACCTGCGAGGTTTCTTATTGGTTGTCTGTGGGTGACATCAATTACACAGGAAAAATTAAAGAACGCACTAAGAGCCAGTTTCCTCGCCTCTTTTGACATACTTGCATGTGCACAGTTGCACACATGCATATCAAAAACACAGTCACACACAAAGAGTTAAACTGTTAGTCTGCCTTTTCTTATGAATTTCCTTTAAGACTCTTACCAGGGGTTGTTTTCCGGGCCTTCCTCTCTTCTTCTTCCCTTTTGCCTCTGGATCCTCCATCTCACTCATGCTCATAGTTAAGCTCACTGCGTCTGTTGCCCCAGATTCATTCGACGAGTCCCTGAAAGGGCAAAACACATGACTCATATGCATTTAAAGCTTTTATTAATCTATAGAGCAAATTAAATACTCAGATGAGGGTCAATACTGGACAGATAGATTAACCAATGAAAAATCATAATTTATGTAGGTTATTTGCCCAAAAAGAAAACATTTCACTCACTGCAGGACAGGGAGCTCTGAGGTGATCATCCTGGTCGGCTGGGGAGGCGGTGGGGTGAGTAGCTGTGTTGATGTACTTCTTCAGGTCCAAGTGTGATTTAGGTCCAAAGACAAAAGAACAAGGCAGCTAGGCTGGGAAGGATGGTCTGGAAGGCGAACTGAATTCAACGTGTTCGCACTTAACTCTCTTCAGCTCCTGGTGGAAAACAACAGAGAACAAGACAAAAACATGCATTTCAAAACAAGTGAGTCAGTAACAACCATTAATAAGAGTACAACACTCTGATGCAGCTATGTTTACAGTCTGTGCACCAGTTATGCACATAAACAGAAACCTCATTACAACATTAATGGTGAGAGGTCAAGTTATTAATGAAATAAAGAAGTGGCCATTTAAAAGTAATGATTAAACCAGAAAAACTAACTGATCTGCACTGTTTCAACACTATTATACATGTAACACTGTGTGATATTTGACGGCTCAGTGTCCAAAGTGCCATAACTGTAAAATGTAATCGAAAGCAGAGAGAAACAGTACAATCTTTCCCTCTGGTGGATCAGGCTATGGAGGTGGAAATGGGGAGAGGAGGACACCAACTGGTCACTTTGGGAACTACAACACCAAAATACTGGGGGACACAGGGAGATTTGTTGTTGACAAACTGTTTCAGTGCCATGATAAGACTTTTAACACAGTTTGATTTTGTATGTTCACTGCAGATAAAGAGTAAGATCAGCTCAAAAACTTTAAAGTATGACCTTTTAAACTTTGTAATTGGAGACATGTTATGACTTAGTCAAGGTGTTTCCCATCGTTTAAAAAAAGTGTCTGTTTGACCAAAGCTGATAAAAAATATAAGTTTTAGCAAATATGCCTAGAGTTGTGAAAAAAATCAAGGTGTCATAAATGAATGAAACAATCCCAAAATGCTTTGCAGCCAGAGCTGACAATGTAGGTAAATTCTCATTGACAGCAATGTTAATTATAACATTAGCTAGTGACCTGTCCATATGCTAATGAGAGCAAAGAACAGAAATGGAGCAATGCTGCACTTAACCACCAGAGGCAGTATGATCCACAAAGTCCTCTGCCCACCTCGATCTCCAAACAGCTTATTTGGATTTTAAATGAGGAAGATGGGCATAAAAAAATCATCCAACACTCATTTAACTCGCAGCTCAGTTCCAGTCCAGTTCTGATCACCTACTAAGTCTTTTGGGGCTGTATTTTCCACAGTGTGTGTGTGAGTGTATACATGTGTGTTTGAAACTAGGTCTGGGCAACAGTAGGGGGCAGGCTAAGAGAGTGTGTATTTAAATGCTGTCTTCCACACAGTGTTTGTACTGAGGAATAGCAGAGGGCAGGGGAGCCCTCCGTTTCACCAGCTTAACTACACACTCACACAGTCATCTGTGTGGCTCACTGTTCCCACACAGTCAGCCTGTCATCTGAAAACATGGCAAGAAAAAAAAAAAAAAAAGGGAACACAGGATTAGTCATTAAAAGCACTGGCTTTATTTTTTAGGTCTGTGGTGTATAGTTGGTTGATAATAATACTCAAAAAGCAGACCCCACAGAGGCTAAAGGGGGTCCTAAATGGCTGGGATATGACCTGCTTGCATTTACATAATTAGATGTTGCAGCTGCACAAACACAGAACCAACAACCTCATTCATCTGACATGGTTGCACATATCTGTGGTGAGAGCAATTATCCTCACGGCTCATGGAACAGAATGGAGAAACTTGTTCAATTTGCAAAATGCAACAATAAATATGACAGATTGACCTGCTTTTTAAAATAGTTTGATGTAACCTGAATATGTTTTTCTGTATCTTGAATGCAAGTGGGAATGTAACACAAAAAAATGACTGACCTAATCTCACAAAGCAAACCCTGTAAAAAATAAAACAGGCTAAAGCAGCCCAAACATTTTATAGCAAACTTCTAATGTGCAAAATGTAATTTAGATGCTGACATGAGACATGACAAAGAAATGGGAAGACTGGACATAAATTACTAGAACGAATGGTATACGAACTCCTTGAATTCAAGGACATCAATCACAGGGTGCTTGCAAGTCTCACCGACACCAATTTAAACAGATGAATAAAGACAACTGCTTTCATTTAACTTCCGACCATTCATTTAGATGACTGCACACGAGCACACTAAATCTCATCCCTGCTATAAACAATAAGAGTTGCTGGGTTTTCTGCACTCACGGTGTACAGTATGCAGTACATACAGCCGCATCCTGGCTGTTTTGTACTTTTGTACAAAGTCTATTTCAGGGTCACAGATGCAGTGTAAAGAGGAGAGATCTAAACAAACAAAAAGCCAGTAAAGGTAAACAATGCAAAGACAGGGACATCCATAAAATGCCCAAGGTTCTGACTAGAAATCCTGTTGAAAACAGCCAAGAGGAAACATTAGTGTTAATGATTTATCTCATCATGCCAAGTGGTTTTAATTCGCACTAAAACACTTCACATCAGAGTCAGCTGCAACTGAAAATAATCAAGTGGTTGATGCTAGACACTATATGCACCGTGAAATGACACTGTTCCTCCAATCACATGCAATTCAGTCTGGTAATCAGCACTCATTTATAACTCACTGATAATAGGCAATGACAAACTGCAGCAAAGTAAGTGGATTGAAGTCAAGTCAGACGACTGACAGAGCACAAGAGATGATGAAGTATGGTTCTTATGTGATCTCACCACTGCCCCACCTGCTATCTCCACTGCTAGAGATGTTAAAATCAATACTCTGTATTTCACACACTGTTATAAATATCTTGTTTTTACCACAACATGGACCCGTGTTCTTTTAATCATCTGATATTCTCTCTCCAAAGGGACAGAAAGCAGCCTTATCTGGATCAGTTCTCTTGTCAATCCTTAGCTGTACAGAACGGAACAAGAGAAGGGTGTGTGCCTGCGTCTAAGTGTGTGTGTGTGTGTGTGAGCCTGCCTGACATATTATCGACCAACAACTAAATAATCCTCATGTTCATTGGCTTTCCTCTCAGCTTTCTTCATTTTGTCGACATACTGGCACCGACTTTCTAACACACACACACACACACACACACACACACAAGATGTAACAGCTTCAACAGAAGGCTATGAATAATTTGTAGCAAGTTCCCTGAACTATTTCTCAATTTTGGAGGACAGAAGCTGCCAAATGTATTTACTTTGCATTTCTCTTGCCCGTTTTCTCAGTGCAGTTCCATGTACTTGAATGCCATGAATGAAAACAAACAATCCTATTAAATAAATGCCAGTTTTAAAATAAATCGTTATGGCCAAAATAGAACAATTAATTATACAAATAATGCCCTTGTGCTTGCCCAGTCTTTCTGGTGTCTTGAACTGTGATTTTGCAGCACAGCTGATGCAACACATATCAGTCCCAAATGCCTTGAAACACAGCATTAAAGAGTACAGAGAAGTGGGAGATGACTATTTACATTAAACAACACAAGACAGAACTAATGTCTTTTCTTCTACTAAGCAAAATGTTGTCCTTAAACAGCTGTTCACACATTCACTTACAAACACAAATACACACCCTGCTGGTAGAGGAGTTTAAATGTGTAACAGGAATGCAGACGGCTGTGCAGCTGTTAAGCGGGCAGTGTCTCTACTTCATGCATTTCAAAACATTCAGCCTTACGCTGCAGGTGGTGTGTGGATAAAGGATTAGTAGAGCTGGTTCAGAACCTTTACCTGGGATAACCCACAGATCCTCAAATAACTAAAGTTAATGAACTGAAGCCGAGTTAGAACATTAAACCTTTATGCAACAAGGTCACAGTGACTTTCACCACTGATCACTAAAATGTAATGAGTTCATCCTCAAGTCTATGTGGATGTTTGTCCCACATCTGAAGAAATTCTCTCAAGGCGTTCCTGAGATATCGTGCTCATGAGAACATGACGAACAGAAGGACAGACAACCCAAAAACCTAATGACTGATGCCACAGCTTTCACAATGCTGAGGCACAAAGACCCTTATACTGTTTTGTCAGAGAACAGCACTTTTTATGGCCATTTTTGTCATAAGAAATACATTCAGTGACTCGATATTCATCATTTAACTCTAGTCACTCATGCTTAGACACACACACACACACACACGAGGTTAGATGATGTAGTTGTGTGTGTTGCTTCAGAGGCAGTAAAACAAAACCTCATGTTAACTGCTGAGTCACTTCATCCTGTCTGTGTGTCTACTTAAGAGTGAGTGCAAGACAGAGAGACAAGCAAATATCTGAGAACCACTTAACATGCATGAGATGTTCTCAAGGAGGCAGGCCCACGTTGCTATAGCAACTGGTGTGGGTCATAAGCCCAGTGGTGAAGGCATATTTGATTGGCTGAATGAAGATGGGGGGGGGACCTGGGGTTTGGGGGGTGGATGGGGTGTTGGCGCAGAACAGAACAGGACCAGATATAGATCCAATCAAGGCTCTGTGAAATCTGGCTACAGACTAACAAGAACCCCCCCCCAGTGCTGGTGAAAGTTGTTCTCAGATCAGTTCTCTGCCCAACATATTTATATTGATTACAAAAGTACCAACATGAGTTTAGCAATTCCTTCCTCATGGACATCCTTCACTCCCATTCATTCAAATTCATGATACTGTGAAAGTTTTACAACAAATCCCAACCTCAGAAAGATAGTGTACCCTCACCCATGAAGGAGATTTATGGGTTAAAGTGTAAAATAAAAGCATGAATATATTAAGCAGTCCCTAACCGCTGCCTTCTCAGATCACAGTGCACACCACACTAATGCTGCTTTCTCTCAAAACATTCAGCTCAGAAAATAGAAAAGTGGAAGTCACATTCAGATTGCATTCACACAGAGATTGGTCTTGTGTTAAAACAACACAAGAGGCCACGTCGGTGTGGGTGTGTTGCTTCATGAATCAATGAGACAATGAAACTCTATCCGGGAAGTCCTGCTGGACGAACAGACTTTGTGTTTGAAGCTTAGTGAATGCCAAAATACAGCAGAGTAGTTTGTAATAGACACAGACAGGAGCAAACAACTCTGGGAAGTTATCACAGTGGCAAATGTTTTATATTTTAGTATGATGAACTTGGTGTAAACAGAAAAACTGGGTTTATGTTAAAAAGTAGCCCATCAAGAACGTGCTTGTGTGTGTGTGCCTGGA